AAAAAAAAAAAATAAAAAAAATTTTTTTTTTTTTTTTTTTGTTTTTTTTTTTCTTATGTTTCTCGTTATAAGAAAACAAATTAATAATAATTAAGGTTCAATAAAAAATTAAAACAAATATCTATTTTAATTAATTTTTATAAAAGTAAAATATGTGCAACCTAAATAATTTTATTTATTATTTCTTTTTTTTTTCATATTCTTTATAAGTTAAAATGCTAAAACAAAAACAAAAATAAGAATAATTTATTAGATGCAGAATTTATCTCAAGATAAAGAAGAAGTAAAAAAAAATAATAAAAAAAAAAATATGAAAAAAAGTAATAGATATTATAAACAAAATGAAAACATATATATCTAGATATAGAAAATTTTATAAGAGATTATATATACAAGATGATTCGTTCATATTCTGTATGTAAAACAGGGGAAATAATTAAAATGTGATAAGTTTTATAATGTTATAAATATATGTAATTATTACTAAAAATGACAACAGTAAATTGAAATAAAATGAAAAAATTGTTGGAAATTTTTTTATTTAAATAAGGATACAAAATAAAGGAACAAAATTTTTTATAAAAAGTATCATAGCTAGATTTTTTTAAATGTAAGTTTAGGAAAATAAAGATGTAGAATAATCAATATATACAGATGTTAAATTTGAAATTAATTGAAATTTTAAAAAAAAAAATATGACAATTTTTAAGGAAATGGATTATATTTATAAAAACAAAAAAATTATATAAAAAAAAAAAAAAAAAAAGAATAAATAAAATAAAATATACATATATATATATCTCTTATATACTATATTCCAAATGTCTTTTTCTTTTTTTTTTTTTTTTTTTTTTTTTTTTTTTTCTTTTTTTTTTTTTTTTAAAATTTATATTTTATGTATATTATTAAAAATGCAAAGTGCAAAATTAAAGTATTAAATTAATGAATAATTTAATTGAACATTTTTATAAATATAATGGATATATTTTTATGCACAAGTAATAATTATTTAAGAAATTAAAAAAAAAAAATACATAAAATGAATAAGGAAATTAGTAGTAATATAATAGAATATAATTCATATGATTTAAATTATTGGAAAGATTTTTTTTTAAAAAAAGAAGAAAATAAAATTAATTCAGTTGAAATAAAATCAAATGATAGTTTACAATTATATAACGTAAAAATTAACAAGAAGATATATGATGGTATAATAAAGTTTGATTCGTATAAATGCCCACATTTTTTTAAGAATTTTTCCATATATAAAAATGGAAAGACATATATAGGAGATTTTAAAGAAAGAAAATTAACAGGCTATGGAGAGATTTTATCAAAAAATTTTTATTATAAAGGTTATATATATAATGGGAAAAAAAATAAAAAAGGGAAATACATTTTTAAAGGAAAATTAATGTACATTGGGTATTGGAGAAATAATAAGAGAAATAAATATGGAATTTTAAAATTTCTTAATGAAAAAAAAAAATTAATATATAAGGGTTACTGGAAAAATGACAAAAGAAATTTTTACGGTATTCAACATTATAACAATAATTCTATATATAATGGCTTCTGGGAAGAAAATAAAAAATGCGGTTTAGGTAAGATCATTTGGTTTGCTAATTTGAAAAATAATATAAGTAAATATATAAACGAATATGAAAATGTAAATTTAAAAAAAAATAAAGTAGAAAAAAAGACAAACTATAATTTATATATACATGAATACAAAAAAAAAAATATTGTTGAAAATTTATATGTTGGTGAATGGATGAATGATAAACAACATGGATTTGGTATTTATATATGGTTTAAAAAAAAAAAAAATAAAAACAAAATAATATATCAAAATGAAAATTATGATAAATATGCAGGTTACTGGAATAAAGGAAAAAAAGATGGATATGGAATTTTTTATTATAATAATGGAAATAAATATATAGGTATATGGAAAAACAATAAAAAAAACGGTTATGGATATTTAATAAAAGCAAATGGTATAATATTTAAATGCTTATATAAAAATAATGAATTGATATCAGAAAAACAACTTAATAAAACATATAAAATAAATAATATTTATACTAATTCATTATGTAATGTCATTGACTTATTTTTTTTTAAAAAAATATATAATATAACGAACAAAAATATTGAAATATTTTATAAAATAATTTATAGAAATTTTGAATTTTTAGTAGAAATTTATGATTATTATAAAAAAAGAAATGGAAAAAAAAAAAAAAATAAATCTCATAATTTCAAATTATTTGATTTATGGAAAATGTTCTATAGATCAAAGATAATTAATACAGAATTTACTTTGAATTCGTTAAATAATTTAGTAATTGATTATTCGTTGCTCATTGAAGAAAATGAATTATTTAATTTTTTTGATGTAAATAACAATTTAGAATTTTCTTTTAATGAAAAAGATATAATAGAAAGTTTTTTTAAATCAGTTGATTATTTAAATATATTTTCTCATAATAATATAATAAATAATAAAAATTCATTTATATATAAAAATAGTATCAAAACTAATGAAAAGAAAAAAAATCAAAAAAATGTAAATTTATTTAATTACTACAATAATGATGTTAATGAAGAATATAATTCTATTAATACTAATAATAATATCAATGTTGATAAAACTAATATTAATAATGATGTAGATAATGAAAATTTTGTAATTTGTGATGAAAACTATTTAAATAAAAATTCAAGTTATTTAAAAGAGAAAAATTGGAATAATTTAAAAAATATTTTTAATCTTTTTAAAAATATTATATTCAATAATAATTTATTGTGTTTAAAAGATTGTACTAATTTTAATAAGTATCATCACAGGCATTGTTGTCATAAAAATGAAAACAATTTTATTTTAAAAAAAATCTATTTTTCTATATTAAAAAGTAAAAGAGAAAATAATAAAAATTACTTATACTATGCTTTAGTTAGCGTATTTCAGTGTGTTCCTTTACTACATCATATATTTAATATAGCTAAAAAATGTAATTATTCATATTCAAATGATATTAATGTTTTAAATTTTTATTATAACAAAGAATTTAATTATAACCAGAAAAATGGATTAAAAAAAAATAATAATTATAGTAAAACAAATAACTTAAAAAAAAATATCCATCCCTTACACTTTTATGAAATAATAGAAAATAAAGACTGTATTACATATTTGAAAAAATTAATTACATTTATTAATTTAAATAGATATTATTTACATGATGAAAATAGAAAAATAAGCTTTAATAGTTTTATATCTACACTAATTCATATATCTATACGATTTGACAATTTAAATAATATAAATGAAACATTAAGAAACTTAATAAACTCTTTAAAAAGATATTCACAAAAAAGGGAGTTACCTAATAGTTATCTATTAAGAAAAAAAGAGAAAGAAGGAAAAATAAATAAAAATCATTTTAATAAGATAATTTCATCCAATAAATATAAAAAAAAACTTGTCTTAGATATTAATGATAAAAAGGAATTAATATATTTAAAAAATGATATTGATGAAAATAAAAAAGAAAAAATAAAATATGATAATCAAAATTTAAAAGAAAGAAATAAAAAAAGTCAAGAAAAATCTACTATTTGTTCTATATGTAATGAGATCTTAAACAAAAATTGTAAAAAAAAAAATTATAAAAAAAAAAATTATAAAAAAAAAAATTATAAAAAAAAAAATTATAAAAAAAAAAATTGTAAATATTGTTTAAAAAGGAAATTATATTCTTTATGTGGAAAAAAATGTGATAAAGAATTAATAAACATATTGAAAAATTTTATTTATTATTTTATGTTTTACTTTTTAATATTTGAATCAAAGGATAAGAAGATTTCTATTTTTAGTATAAAATTAAATATATCAATAAGGTTAAGAGATATAATATTATTTTTAATTAAATTGAAATTATTAAAAATGAATAGAAATGAAAATAAAGTAAAATATGCTAATTTAAATTACTTTTTATTTTATAAAAAGAGAAAAAAGAAAAAAAAAAAAAAAAGTATTTTATTAAATGAAATTGATTATAAAGATAATTTATTAGATTGCAAAATGAAAAATAAAAATAGTAGTAAAACATTTAACAAAAAAAAAAACCCAAACAATATTATAATAAATAGTAAAGAAAAAAAAAATGCCAAGTGTAAAAATATAGAAAAGAATAGTAACAACTTAGTAATTGAAAGAAATACAAAAAATATGCATTGTGATAAAATTATTGATAATGAAAATAATGTAAATGAAAATAGGAAAGATAAAAATAAAAAGAATAAAACTGATAATTGTAAAATTAATAAAAGTGAAGTTAAGAAAAATAACATTAACAAAAATGAAAATAATGAAAATAATGAAAATAATAAAAATGAGTATAATGAAAACGAAATTAATTACACGAAGAATATATGTCAAAAAGAAAAAAACAACAAAAAAGAATTTTGTAAAAAAAAAAAATCTGTGGGAAGAGTAAAAAAATTAATTTTTAAAAGTTTTTCAAAGATGTTCTATTTGTCCTTTTCTGAGATTTTATCAATATTTTCGAGTATATTTAATTCTAAAAATATGAAGTTAGTAAATGAATTAAGTGTTGATTTATATTTATCTAAGCTAAAAAAAAAAAAAAGAAAAAATAAAATAAATAAATATAGTTTAAAAAATAATATAATTCATTATTTTATGATATTAAAAGAAAAAAGAGAAATAAATTCATTAAACAATTCTGATAAGACAAACTATAAAGTCTATAATAAGTTATCAAAAAATCATAAGAAAATTAATAAGGAATATATGTATACATTATCTGCACGAAATAGTGAAAGAAATATAAATATAAAAAATAGTAAATGGAGTTCATTAGGGAAATTAAATTGTGATCCTATTTTCAAAAATGAAAATATTTTGAATACTATAGGTATCTTGAATTCTGAAAATATAAAAAATAGAAATGGTATGGAAACAAATGAAGAATATTTGAAAAAAAAAACTTATCTAATGCAAAATCAACATTATAAATTAATAAGGGATAAACAAACTCTTAAAAATGCATATATTAAAAGAAAAAATGAAATTAAAAAAAAATTGTATCGTTTGAGAAAATATATATTTTCTCATAAAAATTATATAAGTATATTAGATTACTTTAACATTTATATAACACCTTATGAACTTCTTTTATTTTTTTTAAAATTTGTTAAAATCATAAAAAAAAAAAGGAAAATTAAAAATTCTTATAATGATACACTTTATTTTTTTATATTCCATATTCTGTTGTATAAATCATCTATTTTAGCAAACAATAATAAAAAATATTAATTAAATAAAATAAAATTAAGAAAGAATAAACTAATAAAAAAAAAAGTAAACATACCTGAAAGTTTTTAATTTTTTTTTTTTTTTTTTTAAACTATTATTATAAATATTTTATAATTAATGTTTAAATTAAGAAAAAGTTTTATTTAAACATACTAATAAAATTATATAAAAAAAAAAAAAATAATAATTACATAAACAATTATAAGATCATCTAAAAAACAAAATATATACATATATATAAATATATATATATATATAAATATATATATATATATATATATGAAGTAAAAAAAAAAATCATTAAAACAATGTTAATTAAAATGATATATATATATATAAATGAAATAAAAAAAAAATTATTAAAACAATGTTAATTAAAATGATATATATATATTTAAAATATAAAATCTTTATTCATTTATACAAAAAAAAAAAAAAAAAAA